GTGTGTGTGTGTGTGTGTGTGTGTGTGTGTGTTCTGTTAAGATACAGCCTGTGTGTGTGTGTGTGTGTGTGTGTGTGTGTGTGTTCTGTTAAGATACAGCCTGTTGTGCCTTAAAATGGCTTCTACTGTACAGCACTGTGGAGTTGCCATGGTAATGGCTTCACACTCCACAAGGGGGCTCCCTCTGGTAAGGGGGAAAATCCAACATTAGAAATTGCGGCAACATTCATGGAAGGAAGGTTGGGATAAATAATTACACAGGCAGCCGGAAAAAAAATATTTTGAGTTTGGATGTATTGGACATATTTTTAACAAAAGAGAATTACATTCAGCTTCGGACAAAGAATATTTTTCATAATAGAAACAGTTTATTCTAATAAGTAATTTCTAGATCTGGAATATATTTTAAAATGTAAGATACATTTAAATAGTTCTCCTTGATTCCACTGAATACCTTCCTTTGTGCATTAATTAAAAGACATTAAAATTTAGGTTGTAGTACAACAGTCTACTGGAAATAAAATATTTTTAAAATATCATTAGCGAAGCTTTTTCTATCATACTTTATGCAGCAAAAGAAAAAAAAGATGTGGAACTGCTTACATAATTGTTCTTTCTGTTCTTTACTTGGCTCTTCCCTTTTGATTCGGGCTGCAAGCTCATCAGTAAACGATGTTGGTCTTTTCTTTTGAGTTCCAAATAAGGAAGTAGAAATGGGTAAGAGGGAAAAAAGACACACTTTGTTATTTTTAAATATATATATATATTCATAAGTTATTTACAGCCAGACATATTATAGGCTAGGAAATGTTAGAGGGGTAAACACAATTTTCAAACTAATAAGAGCACATGGAAGGAACTGCGAGAGGGATCTAGGAGTCCCCAACTGGATGCAGTATTCCAAGTGTGGTCTTACCAAGATATTATAAAGCACTAACACTTCATGTGATTTTTGGACTATATCATGGTTAATGCAGCCTGGAGTTGCACTGTGCATTTTGGTGGCTGAAGCACACTGCTGGCTCATATTTAAGTGGTTGTCTACTAGGACTCCTAGATCCCTCTTGCAGTTACTGCTTTTGAGCCAGGTTCCACCTATTTTATACTGTACATTTGTTTTTTCTTGCCTAAGTGCAAAAACTTTATTTTTTTCAACACTGAATTTCATTTCATTAGATAGGGCCCAGTGTTCAAGTCTGTCGGGATCCTTCTGGATCTTGAGCCTATCTTCTGGGGTGTTGGCTATTCCTGCCAGGTTGATGTTATCTACAAATTTGATGAGTTTCCCCTCCATTCGCTCATCTAAATTGTTTATGAAGATATTAAAAAACATGGGACTAGGACAGAACATTGGTGTATCCCACTGCTTACTTCCCTCCATGTAGATGTAGCTCCATTAAGGACTACTGTATTTTTCAGAGTATAAGATGCACCCTTTTCCCTCAAAAAAGAGGCTGAAAATCTGGGTGTGTCTTATGCACTGAATACAGCATTTTTTGCCTCTGGAAATCCTGCCCCTTCACCAAAATGGCCGTGCATAGCCTTATGGAGGCTTTCAGAGAGCTCCTAGGGGCTGGGGAGGATAGAAATGAGCAAACAATGGACCATTTTTTTGCTCAATTTCCCCCCCCCCCAGGAACACTCTACAAGCTTCCTAATGCCCCCCCTTTTTTTGACAAAAAANGCTGTGTTGCAATATTTTCAGGGAGGGCTTATTTTTGGGGGAGGGCTTATTTTAGCGCATGCGCTCAAAAGTCTGATTAGGCTTATTATCCGGGGAGGTCTTATTCTCAGGGAAACAGGGTAGAATTCTGTAATTATTTCTTTATAACTATTTTTACAAATATTTTATCAGTAAGGTAAAATTAAGCACTAAGCCAGTTAAATATTATATTGTCTACATTAACTAATTCTAAAATCTTTAACTAAGAATAATCCCTGGGTTTTTTTCTTCTTTTTTGTGCCTTTGTTGACTCCTAGTGATCGCCTGGACTAGTCCGTGAAACTTTCACGGATTTCAGAAGAAGTTTGTCATAACCTTCTTCCTGGAGCTGAGAGTCAGCTAGCTGGCTTTGTGCCTAAGATCGAAGTAGAATTTACAGCCTCATTTCTAGCCTGATGTATTAACCACTTTACCAAATTGGCTTTCCAATTCCTGATTACAACATGGATATAATCATGCAGTTTTACTGGTATTTCCTCACTTCTTTTTGGTATGTTTCTCTGACTTCCCATGTAGCTTCCATCCCCTGGTGGCAACTCTTCCAAGTATTAATAAGATCCAACCCTGCCATTATTTGACTAACATAAACTGAGAACAATTACTTTTTTTTAGTCACTAAAGATGTCAGTAGGAAGAAAAACTACAGTAATAGTGGTACAGTTGGTAGAGATTTAAGAATTTCATGTAGCACATGTGCTCAAGGCTACTCTATGGAAGCACAGCTATTTGTTTTACAATATTTAAAGAATTACCTTGTTCCACTCACATTGTTGCCCTATTAATGACCACAGGTAGTCCTTGATTTACAACAGTTCATTTAGCGACTATTCAAAGTTAGAATGGCACTGACAAAAGTGACTATGACCATTTTTCACACCAATTATCTATGTGTGTGTGTTTTCCAGCATAACTCTGGAACGCCTCAAGCAATTTCAACCAAACTTAGTATACAAATGACTTACTCTCTGGAAACAAATACTGTGGGGGTAGGACACCCCTAACACCCTTCAGGGTGGGTGTTCTGTTAAGATACAGCCTGTTGTGCCTAAAATGGCTTCTACTGTACTGCCATAAAATGGCTTCTACTGTATAGCGCAGTTGGAATTGTCATGGTAATGGCTTCACAATACTCCACAAGGGGACTCCCTCTGGTAAGGGGGAAAATCCAACATTAGAAATTACATTTGGTCCAGACATTTTTAACAAGGCTTTAATTATTTTTGAGGATGAATGTATGGCCAACACAACGTACTTACATACGAGAAAAGAACTACAACCTCAAACAGCTTAGTGCAAATATTGCGGACAAGCAGCCACTTCTAAATCAGGATCAGAAAAAAGCATACCAAATGATAATGGATCAGCTAGCAAAACAACAAGGTGGTATCACTTTCCTTGACACTTCTGGGTCACAGGGAAAGCATTTGTAATTAACTTAATTGCTGCCAAAATCAGGGCTTTTCCTGTCTAATACAGGATTAGGATACATAAGTACACAGGCAACACCAGGTTATCAGCTAGTATTGAATAAAATACAGTATTAATAAATGAACATGTTGTTTTCTTGCAGCTAAATTTTTTACCTGTCTTTTGTGGCAACAACGAAATCATCTTCTCCTTCTCCTCCTTCTTCAAAGAGGTCTCTCTTAATAGCTTGACTGGCCCCATAAGCAGACTTCACAGGTTCCTTTATTTTACTTCCTTCAGAAGTAGCTTTGATCTCTTTTTTATTATTACAATGATCCTAAAAATATACCATGTTGTCATATAATTATTCTTCAATTCATTATTCAGATACAGAGGTTCAAATCAAAGCACATCAATGAATGCACCATAACCAAGGCCCACCAAAATAGTGACATACGAACCCCGAAATAAACAAATCCCACCATATAAGACAAGTGTTTTTCTTAGGAGCATGAAATCAAAATAAGATTAAATATTAGTTTTCGCTTTAAGGCAGCCCCCCCGCCCCCCTCTGCAACCTTTTGAGCACCAGGGACCAGTTCCATAGAGAGGGTTGTTTCCATGGACCAGAGAGGGTATGGTTTCATGTGCTGCTTTCATCCTGTGGATGGGACTTTGCTTGTTTGCGCGGCCTGGTTTCACGGATTCCGTGGACCGGTGCGGTTTAATGGACCAGGGGCTGGATAGCAGAGGTGGTATTCTGCTGGTTTGCCCCGGTTTGGGTGAACTGGTAGTGGCAGCAGTGGCTGGAGGCTCTGCTCACCCACCATCATGGACGCTTTGCGCATTCGCAGAAGGTTCTGAGGATGCGCAGAAGCCCTGTATGAGAGCGCGCGCTCCAGTTCCAAACCAGTAGTGAAAGTAAGAGAAATCCATTACTGCTGGAGACCCCTGTTTTAGGGGATCACAATGAAAAGCAGGTTATGAATATGACCTATGAATATAAGTCTTTTTATCAGTCTGAAATTAGGGATCTTTCTGATAAAACATGCATAAAACCCTTCAGTGACTCATGGCCTAGTTTTTCTACATACTCCAACATCTACTTTCTAGAGTAGCCCTAGAAGACTATTCAGAAGTTTTAACTTTTCCAGAATGGAGTAGTGAAGGCAGTGATGGACATGCCTCAATATGACCATATAATAGCTCTGCTTTGTGAGCTTCCCTGGTCTCAGTGTGCTTTTGGGTGTGATTTTATAAGCATAAGGCTGAGTTACTTGAAGGATTGCCTGTCTCACGTAGTATCTGCTGGCTGATTCAATCAGGAAGATTTGTATGCCAACAGTAGCTAAACAATGGTGTTTGTTGGGACCTTGGAAGAATCTTCCCTCTGTCCCTGCCCTCTGGAATTAGGTTCTTGAGTTCTGTGTGACTTCTTCCTTGCTGGTATTTAGGAGGGCCTTGACTTCGCATCCAGATTTTTGATTATTTTGGATCCGTTTCTTGTTGCCCAGTTTTTGCCATCTTTTGTTACTTATTTTACTGCCGGGGTTGCTTTATGTACTGCCCAGAATTTCCTGTAGTCATGTGATGCACAAATTTAGGGATTTCAGGGATTTTTTTTGTCCTTCGCTGTGAGTTGCATTGTGTTTGGGGGGGGGGTGGTGCACGAAGGGAGGCTCAGCCAATTTCATTGTACACGTGTTGTACTCTGACAATAAAGGTTTGAATTGAATTGAAAACAAGTTCAACCTCCCTGATTCAAAATTCCACCTGAACTCATGATCTACATACTGAAGAAAAAGCAACAGAAGATATTTAATAGTTGTTCCATGTTTTTTTTTAAATCATGTTTATTTCTGGATCTTACTCCTTATATCTGCGGCCATCAAAACTTCAGGGGGCAGAGTACGGTAGGCACTGCATATGTCCTGTATATAGACTTGAAGTAGAACAAATGAAACCATCATCCTATGTAAACAATTTGTAAGCAATGAAGGCTCTATAGCAGTGTTTCTCAACCTTGGCAACTTGAAGATGTCCGGACTTCAACTCCCAGAATTCCCCAGCCAGCATTCGCTGGCTGGGGANTTTTTGCCACCCCCAACCAGGAACACTCTACAACCCTCCTAAAGGCTATCCATGCCCTATTTTTGGGGAAAAAGGCTCATTTTTGTGAAAAATGGGCTGTTTTTTGCTCATTTTTGGACCTCCCACCCCCCCAGGATCACACTATAAGCCTCCTAAAGACTATCCATGCCCTTTTAAAAAAAATGGGCCCATTTTCATGAAAAACAGGCCCTTTTTGGGAGATTTGCAGAGTGCAAAGTTTTTTTTTTAATTTGCCTCTTCAAAACCTTGGTGCGTCTTATACTCTGGTGCGTCTTATACTCCGAAAAATACGGTACATGTTGAGGCTTTCCTTATTAATCCAGTCCAACTACCATTCTATCACCTTTCAGTTCAATTGTTAATTCCCTACTATCTCAGTTTGTGCTACCAAGTTATGACTGAACTATTTTAATTTTCTCTCCTTTCTAATTCTTCTCTGCTGCCAGTAAGGTTTTTCTGCTCTGCTCTACCCACTATAGTTTTTATATCAAAGGCACAAATATGGAAAAAATGTAATAAACTAGCTCTTTGCATATACCTATACTCATGCTGTCCCTCAAATAAGCTATGAATTTTTTGTATTATGCTTTGCTAAGAAGATTAGATTCTTATAAATATTCTGGTCATAGGAAAAAGAAAGAACAGCAGATTCAGAATTGGCAAAAGGAAGAAGGCCTAAAGCATCTGGGATATTACCAATGTTGGCACAATATAGCAGTACTGGAACAAGTATTTTATAAACAACAATTTCATTGATCACACGAATGCTTTGTAGTTTTCAGTGGTATAATCCATGCTATAAGCATCTTATTAATATGCTTCATTAACGCTTTCTCATAAAACTGATGATGTTGTTGAGCAGCAATTCCTTACCAATGTTGTATTTTCTTCTAGGTCACCATCTTCCTCTTCCCCCTTTTCATAGTCACCAAAAATATCTTCATCTTCATCACTCATTAATACTGCTCTCTGGAAAAATAAACATACCGGTATGTTTTTCTGCACTTGAGAAAAAAAATTCCTATGGTGAAATAGATCTAGACAATTTCTGACTGTCTGTTTTGACTGACTGATTTGACTTACTATTGAGATAGTAAACATTACATCTTGAAAAATGATGCTAAAAGAAGTGGACATGTATTAAAAATCAGTGTTGAAATGACCTCAACAAACCATAATTTTCAATCTGGGAGCCTAGAAATAAAAAAAATCTGGCGACAGATTGGGGTGGGGAGAAAGAAATGCACCTTACACTTTTCTCTTCTGTCCAGTATGGAGTACAGGACCAGTTAAGATAGATTCTTACACTTAAATAAAAGAGGAAAACTTGCTTTTGCCAATGGCATCTTATCAAAACATTTTCTCATGCTACTTATTTTCTCAATCCCCAGGGGTTACTTGCAGAGAACCGAAACTTGACCAAATGCATTTCTTACCTGCTTCTGATCTTCATCGCTTATAGTTCCAAGTTCTTCCAGTTCCTAAAAAGTAAAACAACAACAACACACATTTAAGAAAAGTGGCACTTAACGTGACATCATGCTGTCAATGCTCTCTTGGACCTCTTCCTCTATGACAGGGATAATAAGTACTTAATTTAAATTTAATTGAATTTTAAAAAATATTCCCCCCAATATAATAAACTGATAAATATCTAAACATTCCAGTTCCTAAAATTCCTCAAGAGATAGTCTACTCACCTCTTCTTCTTTTCCTTCACTGTCCATCAGGCTTCCGTGGTCACCATCCACTGAACCTTTTGTTCCATAGGTGAAGGGAAAAGACAAGATCTGTGCATTGTTTCTTTAACTTGTTATACAGAGAGGCCTCAACTTATACTCACAATTGAAACCAACATTTCTTCTGGTTTCTGCAGCTGAGTTTTGCTCCATTTTACAACTTCTCTTTCCATAATGTTAAGTGAATCACTGCCAGTTGTTATGCTAATAACACTTAAGTTCATACGGTTCTTAAGTGAATCTGGCTTCTCCATCAACTTTGCTTGTCAGGTCATGAAAGGTGATCACATGACCCCGGGACATGGCAACCTTCATAAAAGTCAGGCCTGTAGTTATGATCTTTGGCCTGCCACACTCTCTATTATTTCATTATGCTGTTTCATTAGTGTAGTAGTTGGGAGGGGGGAATAGAAAGGAGTAGAATTGTGGAATGTGTTGNCTTAGAAAGTTAACAACCGGTTCTCCTGAATAGGTGCGGACCAGCTGAATCCCTCCACTTTATATAAGTCTAAGTCCTATTGCTAATAGCTGTTCAGTAGAGGTCTCTGATCAAATTCATATGTCGTGTTAAGCCATCTTTTGTTCAACACAGAGTTTACTGAAAACACAACTGGCTTGGTTCATACAACATGAAAACCAAAACTAAGAAGACTTCACTTTTAGTATGATGTGTAAAGCTGAATCTATTGTATATACACAAAATGCAAATGCCACTTGTTTAGATCAACTAAAGCATCAATGATAGCTTGCTTCTGTAATGAAGCTGATCAAAGGATTTCAAGCTTCCACTCTACAGACATACTTGCGAATTAGGGTAGTTTAAGGTCAATTAAGTAAAGATTTAAAAAAAATTGCAGATCATTGGTCAATTTTTTTTTTATTATCCATACCTGGAAAGAGAGAAACTGCTCCAGGAGGAACTTTCCTTACTGCTTTCGATGATGGTTCTAAAAAGCACAGAAAACGGATCAAATTGAAACTGTCCCAAAGTCAACTTCCTTTTCTGTAACTATGCCTTTAAGTATATATTTGCCTTACTCCTGACTATTCACAGGCACAGGGATGGCATCTTACATTGTTACAGGTGTGACACTTTACAATATTACAGTTGTAAGATGATGACCTCTTACAATGTCTGCTGGGAGTCATTTTGCCCGAGGACTTTGATGAAGTGGATATGGTGCTACCTAATATGATTTCAATTGAATTGAATTGAATTGAATTTATTATATTTCTATGCCGCCCTTTTCCCAGAAGGGACTCAGGGCGGCTCACAACCCATCGGGGGGGGGGGGGAATACAAATAGGGAAAACGACATGGACAAACAGTACCACAATTTAAAAAAAACAATCAACAGCCACACCATTCGAGCGGGGACAGGAACTCATCAGCCCCAGGCCTGTCGGAACAGCCAGGTTTTAAGGG